ACGTCTGTGAAAACTGAATTTTAATTTTCAATACCTTTTCTTATTTGGATTGTTTGCATGTTGATGTTATCATGCTCAGGGAAAAATCTTTGAAGAGTCCTGTCAATCCAAAAACATCGAACTGTTTAACAAACCCCGAATAGTACAGACATGAATGAATATTTGATCGGCCATTTCCTCTACAAGAAGGGTAGGGTAGGGAGGGAGCTCTTTGAATTTGAAGAGCTGTGATTTTCTTTTAGCTGAAACCATTTCGTTTTCTCCCACCCAAATTCTTTAATCCCACCCTGGGGGAAAGAGCAAGCCACTTTGGTCGAACTGTGACCTTTGAAACCAAAAGATATGTCCACTCACTTGACTCTGAGTGAGGGACGTGAAAACCTGCGGTTGCGGAAACTTTCAACCGGACTTGACGTTTTTCCCCCGACAAGTCGCTGAAGAAAAAAAAGTGATTGCTGCACGATCTACCTTGTCACGTGTCTGAACTTTTTCACTTCTGTTGCTGCTTGTTTTTAATTTTCGTATTTGTAAATTCGATTGGCGAGCGAAAACGATTTCAGACGGAAAGTTTGGCGTGAGCGATTCGACGACGTGATTTCTGATTTTGTGCGGGCTGCTTTATATGATACTGACTATTGTTTTATATATGTGTTTTAAATAAGCCTATATTTAATGAGTGCTTTACTACCAGTGTGAGAGTGTTAGAAACGAAAAACATAGTCAGAGTCAGAGTCAGACGTCAGACTCATAACAATAGAAACAAGGGTCTTGAAGAGAGCTGTGAGCGGTCAGTCTTGTGAGCTGTGAGCCTGTGAGCTTTTCTCTGACCTTAAAATTCAATGCCGCCGAAGCCATAGCCATAGACTGCCTGCTTCGAAACTTTGAAAGAAAATTGGGTTCAAAAAAAGTATTGGTGCCTGGCCTGGCTGTGGGCCGTGGCAGTGGCTGTGCGACTGTGCGACTATTCTATAACATCATTACTCGGTAAGTTAGTTAGTTACCATCTTTATTGTGCATAAGGGCGCATCTATACTTCCGTACCATAACAAACTGTTTAATAACTAGAGGGTACCGTACCGTACAGTACCATTACCGGGCCCCTAATTCTTTTACTTTACTTTGCAGGTTCTTGCACAACATGCTCACCAACACCGGCCATTGCATAAATGGACAGTGCATGGGCATGGTGCATGGCCTACTACCATGCATGCCCCCCCGGGGGACGATGGCACATGGTGCTACGGCGAGTGCAGAGGGAAATGCGAGTGCCTCATTTTTTTCCGTGTCTCACCACGCATGCCCGGCCCCCCAGGGGGCCGGAGGGGTGGATCGCACATGGTGCTATGGAGAGCACAGAGGCAAGTGCTAGTGCATCCCTCCCCGCCCCTCCCCCCTCCCGGCCCGGACCCCTCACCACCTCCCGTCTCCCGCCTCCCGCCTGAAGTCCCGTCCCGTCCCGCAGTCCCGCCCCGGGGGCCCCCGCCCTCTCTTTTTTTTGTCTTGCTAAGCTGCCCCCTGCATGGGGGCGAGACGAGGCCTATGGAGAATGCAGAGGCACATGATGCACATGACACAATTCTTCATTGGCACCCCTTATAGGGGCCAGCCACTGAGTGCGCAAAAAAAAATAATATTATATTTGCATAAATTTAGTACAGTACGGCTGTACGGTACGGTACATTACATTATATAATATACATGATGAATCAATGATGCTGATGCAGCCAGCACAGAATCACAGAAACTGATTTTTTCAAGGCCTTCAGGACTTCAGGCCTTCAGGCCCTTCAGGCCTTCAGCAGTTCTTCCTCTGACTGTCACCTGTGCCAGGTTTGGAGTCTGGAGTCTGGCTGAGTCTGGAGTGAGTAGCCAGCAGCCAGAGCTGAGCAGAGCGACCACTGCCGCCGCCGGGCCGCCGGGTCACGGCTGATCGTTTACTCACAACTCACAAATTGGTTCAAAAAGTTTACGAAAGTGACAGCGTGACAATGTGACAATGTGACGACAACAACAACGAACGAACCGAACAATTTTTCCCTGTCCTTGCAAGAACTGCAGTTTAACTGCAGTGCGACACATTGGCCATGCATCCGCATCGTTTCAGTGCTTCAGCACAACTGCAAATACAGTTTCTCAGTTTATCCGTTTATCACAACGCCCCCAGCTGGAGCCTGTTCCGAAGGCGAGAAAAAGAAAGCGTGCAGTGAGATCTGTTTGCGATTGTATAATGTGTTCATTTTCAGTCGTTTGCGATCGCTATACTAATACTTCTGTAACTGTAACTGTCACTGTCACTGAGTCACTGCTGTAGTTTTTTGTATTATTGTAACTGTAACTGTAACTTGTAACTTGTATTGTATATGAATTGAATAATAATTATGAATGTCATGATCATGACTGTCATGACATGACAGTCATGACATGTCGGACATGACATGACATTACAGTGAGTCGCACATCATCACACAGACACACAAACAGACACAGGCACACACACACACACTGTGTCACACACACAGCACACTCTGCACACTGCGCACACACACACACTAGACAAGAAATGGATCATCGATTATTTTTTTGTTTGAAGATGCATTACATAAATAAATACATAAATAAATAAATATATATATATAATATAAGACAATATATATATGAATCACATTGTCACATTGACATTGACATAGTCAGCAATTGCCAAGCTTTGGGTAAAACTGCACTGCTGCTTTACTGCTTGGCACTGCTTGGCAGTATTTATAGGATGGCGACCAGGGCCCAGACTCACAGACTTATGTCAAAAAGCATCCTTTGGGAAACATTTCAGTGAAGTTTCCAGCTTTCCCAATGTCTACCAGTGTACGATTGAGAGTTCAACTCAGCTAAGAAGAATTCCAACTTTGACAATGTGACACAACATTGACAACTTTGATATTTTTATGTTATTTCTGGCCAAAGTAGATGGGAAAACAGCTGAAAAACACAAGTTTTTCAATGTAATTTGCATGTTTTGTTGATACATGTGAGGAAATCCACACAAGGGGAACTTTAAAAGTGACAACATGGACAACTTTGATATTTTTATGTTATTTCTGCCCAAGTAGGTGTGAAAACAGCTGAAAAACACAGTTTTTTCAATGTAATTTGCATATTTTTTTAAAATACATTTGAGGAAATCAACACAAGGGGAAATTTAAAAAATCAGTGAATTTTAGTTAATTTCTGTCCAAGTAGGTGTTAAAAAAACTTAAAAACACATTTTTTTTGTGTATTTTTCACATTTTTTGAAGAAATCCACACAAGAGACTCAACTGCAGAAAAAGTGGTGTCACATCCCAAGCCATTCTGAAGTGGAACAGCCTTAACTGCAGTAGCCAATCCTTAGCTGCAGTTGAAAAAAATTCTCCAGCTAAAAAACCTTGAATTCTGAAATTTAGCAGAAATGATACCCTTCTCTAAAAGGACAACTACCTCTATGGAAGGAATTACACATGTTCATTAAAATATATGGAAGACAAAACGCACTTGTTTTAAAGGAATGCTATGTACATCTCAGGGTCTTTCTTTACACTTTCTCAAAGGAATGTTGCCCCCTCTGTAGAAGAATGTTGCATAGAGGCATGCCATAACTTCCTCAAGAAATGCCACGCTCTTTCAAATTTTCAACGATGACTTATGAGAAGCATGCTGTTGCCCTTAGAATATGAGTTGATGCTGTACTAGGGTTCAATAACACAACATTTTTCAAAGGAACAATATGCTTACCCTTTCAAGACATTCCATATCTCTGTATGTAGGGAGCTTTGTCAGGAAGATGCACTACTGTTTGGGGACAAAATGAAATTTTCTGTCAATCAGAAGTGCTGTTTCCTCGTGTTCATGCTTGCTATAAAAACCTGCAACATAGAAGCAAACACAACCCTATCATTTAAGCATGGCGCAACAGGGCAAAATTGAATTTTCTCTCTGATATTCACTGGCTAAATGACATAGAATCGTTGATAGCGCTATTTAGTTTCTCGCTGTGCATGTGCAATATGTTTTGATTCTTGTGACCCAGCTGGATGAAATTTTGAGGTATGCATATATATATATATGTATATATATATATATGTATATATATATGTATATATATATATATGTATATATATATATATGTATATATATATATATGTCATATAGGTGGGATCTTGGAGCAACATCGCTGGCAGATATATGAGATCTTGATGCAACATCAGTGCAAAAAAACGCACTCTCACAGTCCCCCGCTCTTTTTTTTGATACCAGTGTTTTATTTTTTTGATACGGAATGTTTTTTGATCCCTCACTCATTCGATGGCTGGTTTTGGAGGAACAACAAAGTCAAAACAGTTGGAACATTTTGGCAGCAGACCGTCGCATGTAGCGCCAAAAATGATTGAGGTGCGCGCACTTGAGAGTTTGTTTGGTCACGCCTGTTGCCGGTGGTTTGTGTTGGGACCCATTTTTTGTACCAGGATGAATTGTATGCGAAACGTTTCCCAAGCGCTATTGAAAACAGAAACATGTTTCCGGTAAATATGCTGCCATTCCTTGCAAATTTTCAGGTTATACTTATATGGCGGTTTGGGTTGGTGGTTTGGAAGCCTGGGAAATCAGAGTTATGTGCAAAATAGATTTGAAAAATGTGTTTTTTTTTGTGTGTTTTGAATTTTTTTTTTTTTTTGTGGCGAGTTTCTCTTGAGAAACTTTAACTTATTTGCACACGCAACAAATTTCATGGGCAAAACCTTTTTGTGAGAACAATCTCTGTTTGACCAATTTTTAAAGAACTTCTTTTTGTCAAACTCTGGTTTTGCTCGTGCGCGTTTACAGTGATTTCCAAACATGTGTTTTTTGAAACGGATGATTATATGTTTCCTCCGAAACGTTTTTTCCATCAAGGGTTGGGTGGGAGGGACTTGCCCTCTTTTTGACGGAAATTTTTCGTCTTTCATAGGGGGCGAACGTGTGCTGGTAGTTCCATGGCCCAGTCATTTGAGGATTTATCAGTTGGAAACAAACCTGCTGTTTTGGATGTTTCTCTGGACACAACTCCATTTTTCAGCTTTGCAAGGGATCTGGAGTACCTCGAAGAGGTGAATGGTGACAGAGACAACACTGGTGAAAGACCGGACACAGGTGATTTGTTTGGTGGTACAGAACCGGTGGAAGCAGACAGGTTTTCTCTGTTTAGTCCGACGACTTTGGCTGACGATGATGTTGCAAACCAGCAGTTGAAAAAACATGACAGTGTAGGAGAACAGGAGTCGTTTCAACAGGTTGTTTCTCACACTGGGTTCAACTTTGATGCATCACTCAATGTTGCCTTCAATTCTGCAAACGCTGAACAACCCAAACAGATATGGGAGACTGGCATTTGGAAACACATCTTTGGAGATGATGATACTCCTCTGGACTTTGATGTTTGGGGGCCGCCGGTGACCAGACCTGCTCTTACAGCTTGGGGCGTGGATAGTCGGATTTTGGAGGCAGATGTGAAGTGTCCAAACAAACGTTGCCATGAGCCTACATTCAACTTTCTGGATGTGGTGTCGTTCAAACCTGATGTGCCGTGGCAAGAACAGAGGGAAGCAGATTTACAACGTGGCATAAAGTTGTGGATTGCGGTCACCAGCAGGTGGCATGACGAGTGCTCCATGGCACACAAGCTCAGAGAAATGAGGGCAGAAGAAGAGGTCTTCAACATGTTTGCACACGTCTTCAGTGGGCGTGCACCTGTCACAGTGCGGAAACGTGGAGCAGCAGTGCTTCGCATTTGTGATTACTTGGAGACCAACATGTTGGAGGCCTTCCCCATGCAAGAGATCACATTTTACAGGTTTCTTTGTCACGAGGCATCCATGGGTGCACCTGCAAGTAGACTCAAAGGTTTTCTGCAAGCCGTTGCATTCTGCAAACATGTGCTGGACGTAGGTGAGCTGCAGTGCATTTTGGATAGCAAGAGATGCAGCGGTGTGGCGACTGAAACCTGTCCCAAGGAGCGACGCCAAGCCAGTCCTCTCACGGTGCTTGAGTTGAGAAAGCTGCATGAAGTGGTGGACGATGGGTCAGATCCTTGTGACTCGGTTTTTGCAGGAGCTGCTCTTCTTTGTTGCTACTGCAGAGGACGTTGGGGAGACTTGATGAGGAGCGAATCAACTTTCATCGACAACGATGCGGAAGGCAAACCTGCATATGTTGAGACCAGGGTTGGACGGCACAAGACTATGAGCTCACAGATGCACCGCCATCAGTTCCTTCCAATGGTTGCGCCGGTGATGGGAGTTCACGGAGGCGATTGGGCCACACCGTGGATGCAGCAGAGGTTCAAGCTTGGCCTAGAATTTCCACCTCAGGGACTGGTTATGCCTGCACCAGACAAGGATGGCCAGGTGTCGCAGAGGCCGCTGGAGTCTGGTGAATGCGGCAAATGGCTCAGGAGATTGTTGGGCTTAGATGTTGCGGCTGGATCTGATTCGAGCCGCAGGGTCAGCAGCCACAGCCTCAAGAGCACCATGTTGTCATTTGCGGCAAAGAGAGGACTGTCAGTGCCTGATAGGTTGATGCTAGGGTATCATGCTTCACAGATGCACATGGCCATGGTATACTCACGTGATGGTGCAGCAGCAAGCCTGATTTTACTTGAGCGTCTCATTGACGAGATTGCCAGAGGGAAGTTCCAGCCTGACAACACTCGCAGTGGCAGGGTTGTTGAATCTCCAGTGGAAGAGCATGTTCCTCAGAGTGCGGAAGTCAAAGTTGAAGTTGTAGTGTCATCAGACGAGGAACATGGTGATGAATTGCAGAAGAGTTCCAGTTCTGATAGCACTTCAAGCTCTGATTCATCGTCAGGTGGCATCCCAGAGAATCATGGACTGAATAAGGTCTTTGCTCCGCCCAAGCCTCCAGAGGGTTTTCAGAGTTGGCAGCATGCAAAACTGAAGACAGTTCATTTGACTGAGCCGGGTTACTTCCGGGTCTTCGTTTGTGGACGACCTGTAGGCAGCTTCCACCATCGAATCACTCAGGACCCAAGGTTCGATTCACCAGTGTGTTGGGCCTGTTTTAACAAGGCCGCGCGCGGGAATGAACAGCAGGCCACTTAGAGTTTCATGGCAGGCAGAGTGCGAGACCCGTTTTGGGTTCAGTGTCACATGCAACTGTCACGATATCAAACAACAGTTGTTTCTTGCAGGTAGGTTCAGTTTGTCATGTATGTTTCAATTTCTTTCAGATTGATTGTGTGAGTTGTGTCAGCTTGCAGTTGGGACCTCAGAATATCCGTTGCTGTGCATGACAACTCCAAATCACTCGTGAAACCGCATGTTTAACATTGTGAATTTTTGTCCACTTGTATTTAGTCTCCATGTGATGCACAACAGGGTGATAATAGGAACTTACAGCGACAGAGTGAATGGAGGAAAATGCAGGGTATGCAATCGCGCGTCTGGACCTTGGTGGTTCTAAATGTCCTGCTGGGGTCGGGTCACCAAAATTCAGTGGAAAATTCAAACTTGAAAAAGACCGAGTTTTTCAACATCTCGGTTTTTTTGGGGATTCCTGGCCCCGGCCGAAACCAACAAGAAATTTACCACTTGGTGGTCTCACAGTGCCACAACGATGCGTCACCCAGTTTCACATGTCAGTTCCTTTTCACCCAAATTGAGTCTCATAAGACGGCATTGGCAAGAGCATGTTGCACTTCCAGTTTCAATTTGTTCACTCGTGTGAAACCTCTTGTCACTTTCATTCATGGAGAGTTTGACATGTCTGCCAGACCGAATTGGCGAGCGCTGCACGGGAGTCTACTTTGACCACATAGGCTCCACTTGGAGGTCAGTGCATTTGCTGGTGACGATGATCTGTCATCGTGCTTCTCTGTTTTCTTTTGCATTTTCAAATTGTGATTTCGCATCAAACAGTATGCACTGATGTTAGTGAGAGCACAAGGGGTCATGACAACTCGCTGTGCAGCAGCATGCATGTGCACCCTCTCAGACACAGTGGGAGTCAAAAAAGGGCCGCTCATGGCTGACAGACCAGACGTGCCGAGAGTTGGGTTCACATGTAGATCAGTTGTCAACTCATTGAGCGTTCAGTGTGCATCGGGGCCGTGCCCAGGGTTGCCATGCTGATGCTTGAATTTTTGTCATGATGCGTGGAGAGGCTCAGCTACATAGGCAATGCTAAATGTGGTGAGCCGAACACGTCATGCTGTGCAAGGATGACATGGAGCAAGTGAAACGTTGATTTCACTTCACATGCAACTTGACAGATCTCTCAGTTCATGTCAGGAAATGCGAACAGGCAAACAGGCTTAGGTTGTTTTTGAGCACAAGACATGGATAAACAAGTTTTGTTTCATAGGATTTCCAGCGTCGTTTGCAAAGATGGCACTGGTCGAGAGCAATGCAGCTTTCACACAACGATGCAACGAGATCGACCCAACTGGCAACTTTGGGAATGCGCTGGGGACACAGAACATTTCTACATTCAGTGCAATGGCTTTTTCGCTGGGCACTCCGCAGACAGCTCCGACAGAACAGCAGTTCAACACGTTGGGACAGGCCGTTTTCGGCCCTGGCGTCACCTTGGGACAGACGTCCATGCTGAGAAGGATGCACTTCGAAGCGACCACTCTTATGATAGCTTCCGTCAAACAAAGAGTAGATGGTGAAGCAGCAGACAAGGCCGATGCAGTCAAGAGAATTCCGATAGCTGAAAAGCGATACAGGTTGGAGCAGCAGGAGCGCAGACTCACAGGTGTAAACATCAGTGGCGAGTTGGAGCCGAGCCACCAGCTGTTGGACCTGACCAATAGCATTCTGGAGACAGGGTCATTGGTGTGGATTGCACCTAGTCGATGCACCAAAAGGGCTGACGAAGTACAGCTTGCAATCAAAGATCGGCCTTCTGCCGTGCAGGTGGAAAACCAACAACTTAAAGTGGCACAGGTGTCGGAGGAGTTCCGAGCAGACCATGGCAGTGAGATCAAGTTGCAATGGTGTTGGCAGAGGCGTGGATTAGCAATGGATCAGTGCAGACTTTTGTCTTGGGAGGTGCATGACGCCTGGGTGCATCAGCTGTTCCGCACTATGAGCCAGACTGCACCACCTGGATTTCAGCAGGTGAAGGTGGAGCAACTGATCAGAGCAGACAGAGAATTGTGGACGCTGCTAGCTCAAGAGGTGAAAGGAAGCCTCAAGCCGGCAGCCAATGGGGCCATACCTCTTGACACTTTGGTGCCAAGGCTGTTCCATGACCCGAGGATCACCATGTTCCTTCTTCCTACAACTGCAGCGGCAAGAGCGGCTGACAAGGAAGGACCGGTCAAAAAGAATCCACAAGGAGCACCAGTTCAAGCAGCAGCCAAGAGCACGAACGAGCGCAGAAAAACCAGAGCCGAGAAAAGTTGCCCTGAGGAGTTGCGGAAGTTCAATTTGAAGTGTGATCATGGGCCAGTGTGTTGGGCATACAACATGAAGTCTGGCTGCAAGAACTCTACAACGGGCAAACCGTCCAGGTGCGCAAAAGGCTATCACGTGTGTGCAAACTGCCACAAACCTGGGCATTCGGTGGTGGTTTGCAGGGGGCTCTCAAAAGACGCTGCTTGACATGTCAGTCCCACTGACCCCCTTTTGGAGTCAGGTGGGAAACGGAAGTTGGTTTCACTACAGCCCAACTCGAACAACGATGACGGGCGCAAAAGAAGATGTGGTGGCAAGGGCACTTTTGTCCAAGACAACAACTTGCCTACACGGCCCAAGCCACAAGACATGGTGCCAGGTGACCACCCTAAGGGTATACGGTCCTCAGAATTTACAATGCAATATGGCAGCAAATTTTCAGGCAAACTGCTGGGTGATCTTATTTTTGTGGAAATTTGTGCAGGCAGTGCCAGGCTGACCCGAACTGCCAGGGAAGCTGGGTTCAATGGAATTGCCGTGGACCACACAGACAAGAGGACTTGCGGCATTGATATTTGCATTTTTGAACTGGAAGATCAAGAGCAGGTCAATGACCTTTGTGCTTTCCTGGAGGCGGAGGCGGAAAACATTGCTGCAGTTTGGATCGCTCCTTCATGTGGCACAGCTAGTAAGGCGCGTGAGAGGCGCCTACCACAATTGGCGCGACTGGGCATACAAGTGCCCATTCCTTTGCGGTCCAATGAACAACCGGACCAAATAGATGGCCTTGCAGACACTGACAAACTCAAAGTTGAGAAGGCTAACATGCTTTACAATGCGGTGGAGCAGATCACTCGCACAACCTGCAGGGCAAACATTTTCACTGGCATTGAAAACCCTGGCAACAGCCATTACTGGGGGACAACACCGATGCAAAGCATCATGCAAGAGTTTGGTGATAAGTTTGTTACTTTTCACAACTGCAGTCACGGTGGGTCACGTGACAAACTAACCTCAGTTTGGGTCAATGACGACTGGTTGGACGCATTGGAGGCGAGATGTGACAATTCTCACAGTCACAAATCCTGGAAGGTGACAGTAAACAAAAATGCGATCCACTTCCCCACCTCTGAAGAGGCTGCTTATCCGTTTGTGTTGTGTCAGCGCATTGTAGAATGCGTGAAGCAAAAAGTTCTCCAAATGGGAGCCTTAGTTTCTACAACGCTTGCAGAACAGATGCAACACCCTGATGCGGACGCTGCCGGTCGCATTGCCTTGGGAGCACTCCCGAGAGGGACCAAAGTTCGCCCTCTCGTGGCTGAGTTTGGGGGCTTTGTTGCAGCCGTAGCACCTCTACAACAAACAACCGCGGTGGAAACCTTCATTTCTTCACTTCCGAAGGGTTCAAAAATCACTTCACGACAGGTGCGGAAAAGGGGCGAGTTGCGGGTCGTGCAAGAGGGGTACACTTTTTTGGCTGGTTCTGATGACATCCGAGAGGATGACATGGTTGAGTTGTGCTGGATTGGAATACCTAGCACCCCTGGCCAATTTGTTGAAAGAGCCAGACAGGCAGGCCACCCACGAGGACTCGATGTTCACGTGGACGATGCAATGCAAGAGGTGGTAAAACAGAACCTTGTAGACCCTCCATACATGTTGGCCAAAAAGAGGGTGCAATACATGAAAAAATGGACGGCGAGAGCAAAGGAGCTTGCTGTGCAGGAACAACAGCTAAGGGACAAGATGCCTGAGCATGTCAGAGACGTGGTGGGGCAGAAACGTTTGCTTTTGATGGGCGAGATGCTGGAGGAGCTTGGCTATCCTGATGACAAGCTCACTAGTGACATAGCAAGTGGGTTCAGGCTGAGTGGATACATGACGAAGTCCAACGTTTTCAGAGCCAGGTCAAAGAGGCCTGCAATGACTATGGAGACCCTCAGGAAGCTTGGAAAGTCCTTTAACTCCAAGAACCTTGCAGCTCTTGGCAAGCGCCAGGACCCTGAACTGGAAGAGTCGACCTGGAAGGAAACACAGGTTGAGCTGGAGAAAGGCTGGGTTTTTCTTGATGAGAGCAATGACACTGGAGGCAAATTTGTGGGCCGGCGATTCGGCATCAAGCAGGGGTCGAAGATACGAGTCATTGATGACTGCACGTGCTGTGGCCTCAACTTGACAGTAGGACTTCACGAAAAGTTCAAATTGCGATGTGAGTTTCTCTTTGAGAAACTTTTCCTTATTTGCACACGCAACAACGTTTTGCAAAAACAGTTCCTGGTTTGGTTTTTAAAACGGATGTCAACAAACCAACTTGTTTTTGCTGCGCGTTATTTGTTTTTTGGGAATCCAGTAATTATTTGTTTCATCTGAAACATTTCCTTTCAAGGGTGTGGAGGGAGGGATTACCCTCTGATGGATTTTTTCCGTCTTTCAATGGGGGTTTGCGTTGTAGTGTAGTGCCATGGATGTGGCTGACAGCACTGTCAATGCTTTCTCTGGACATGACTGGTCAACAGCAGTGAATGATGATTTTCTTAGTTTCAGTGACGATGTTTCTAAACGTGCTGCCTTGTTTGGGGACGACACTGGACCAGCTGATGACGGACGTGTTGGAGAATCTATTCATGTGGCAGGTGAGGTTGAACAGGATCGTGAGTCAATGGTTAGTCCTACAACTGCTGCCTCAGTGGAACACATGGTACATGGAAACGATGCATGGGCCTCGGAACAGACTTCAGCAGATGTTACAAACACAGACGGTGGTGTCAGAGTGAACTTCCAAAATGCTTTTCAGTCAGCTTTCAACCTTGTTGCACCTGAACAACCTAAACAGATTTGGGAGACTGGCATTTGGAAACATATTTTTGGAAATGAGAATGACAGTCTGGATTTTGATGTCTGGGGCCCGCCGGCCAAACGGCCAGTGCCTGCCTTGTGGGGAGTGGAACAGCCTGGCAATGGATCTACATCGGATTCAAGTGGCAAACGTAAGTTTGAACAGTGTTGCACTTACATGGAGGTGGTCTCGTTCAGACCTGATGTGCCCTGGAAGGAGCAGCGTGAAGCTGATTTGCAGAGAGGGCTTAACTTGTGGATGGCAGTGACTAGCAAGTGGTCAGGTTCATGTTCGTTCATACAGAAGCTCAGTGAGATGCAAAACGAGACTGAACAGTTCAACATGTTTGCACATCTTTTTGCAGGTAGGGCACCCACCACAGTCAGGAAACGTGGAACAGCTATTCTGAAGGTGTGTGATTTCCTTGACCCAAATCAGTTGGAGATGTTCCCCATGAGTGAGCTGGTCTTTTACAGATTTTTGTGCGCAGAGTCATCCATGGGGGCTCCAACCAGTCGCCTTCGTGGGTTTCTACAAGCAGTAACCTTTTGCAGGCATGTCATGGATGTGGTCGAACTGCAACCCATCATGGACAGCAGAAGATGCAAAGGAACAGCTCATGATGAAAATGTCAGGGAGCGCAAGCAAGCCAGTCCACTCAGTGTTCAGGAGTTGTTGAAGCTCCATGCCATGGTGGAGGACCCTTCAGATAGCTGGAACGCTCTTTTCGCAGGGGCTGCATTGCTGTGCTGTTACTGCAGAGGCAGGTGGGGCGATTTGATGAGGAGTGAAATGGCATTCCTTGACTACGATGATACAGGACGCCCTGCCTTCCTTGAAACTCGAACAGGGAGGCACAAGACAATGGCAGCCCAGATGCACAGGCACCAATTCCTCCCAATGGTGGCTCCAGTCAGAGGGGTCAATGGTAAGGACTGGGCTACCCCATGGGTCGAACTTCGAAGAGCCAAAGGGTTGTCCTTTCCACCGGAAGGGTTGGTGATGCCGGCACCGGATCAACATGGACAGGCCACGGAAAGGCCGTTGGAGTCTGGAGAGTGTGGTAAGTGGTTGCGAAAGCTGCTGGAGATTGCACCAACAGCAGGGAACCAAGATGGTCGCCGAGTCAGCAGCCACAGCCTCAAATGCACCATGCTGTCATTTGCAGCAAAGCGTGGGTTACCTGTTCCTGATAGACTTATGTTGGGATATCATTAATCAAACATGCAGATGTCGCTTGTGTACTCTAGAGATGGAGCTGCTGCAAGCCTTTTGCTTTTGGAGCGTTTGATTGATGAGATAGTCAAAGGAAAGTTCAGACCCGACAGCACTCGCAGTGGCCGTATTGTTGAGTCACCAGATGAGTTGCCGGGTCCCCAGCTTTGCAAAGTGAAAGTAGAAGTGGTTGAATCATCAGATGACGAAGCAGCAATTGATGCAGATGTTGCGCAGTCGTCTGACAGCACTTCCGACTCAAGCTCATCTGACCAGGGCATTCCTCAGGATCACAGTTTGAACAAGGTATATGCGCCTCCGGAACCACCTTCAGGTTTCTCACGCTGGCAGCATGCTAAGTTGAAGACAGTTCACTTGACGGCTGAGGGTTATATCAAGGTTTTTGTTTGCGGTAGGCAAGTTGGGAGTTTTCATCATAGATTGGAATCAACTCCCCGCTTTGACTCTCCTGTTTGCTGGGCTTGTTTCAAAAAAGCGAAACAGTCCGAGAAGGAGGGTTGCAAATAAGTTTCATAACTTGCACTGGCCTGACCTTGTTTCGTTTCAACTGTTTTCTTTTTTTTCCATTCGCGCCGACCTCAGGATTCACAAAAAATTTGGGTTCCAATTTTTGGATAAAAAAAAGGGAACCCAAATTTTAGGCTGAATTCACAAAAAAATTGCATGTCCATTCAAGAAACAGTTTGTCAGTGCAGTGTTGTGATGTTTTCACGGTGATTTGAGTCGTGCTTTTACAGTAGTGCTGCCAAATTTCATCTCATGTCAATGTACTTGTCAGTCATGTCCTTTTTAACTTCATGTTGAATTGAGATGTGAGCACTTGTGCATGAACCGGCATCAGGGGCAGCTAGACTGGCACGATCACCGTCAGTGGCTGGGCCCTGCCCTGCGCTCGGTGGATGAACTTAGTCAGCAAAAGCTCAGTTTTGTTTTTGCCGATAGTGTCAATGGTCATTGGCTGTTGTTTTGGGTGTCAAGTGATGTCACAGTAAAAAACATGTCAGACACCTGAGCTCAGTCCAAGCAGTCAGACTTGCAACACTGTGCAATTTTCATCTTACTCGTTTCTTCAGAGAATGAATGTGTTTTCAGCTTGTCAGTGCAATCGAACCTCAATGACTGCTGGATGCGAAACAGGGCAGGCAGCCTTTTGGAGTCGGAACCAGCGTTGCATTTGCACTGCATACATGTCAGCTCAATCGTTTCTCACTCTGTAAAATTTTTAAGATGATTTCCAGATTTGGGGTTTGCTTGAGTTGCTTGTCAAATCATTTTGATGAGAGAGACGTGCATGTGCAGCCAAGAACGCCCAGCACCAATCTTGATTGGCGCGACCAGGGGATTGGGTTTGTGTGGAGCCTAACATAGGCACCAACAGGCCCAATACCAATGTCACAAGACTGCACGACTAGCTGAAACTCAAACACAGCAAGAGCCCAAAAAGACCCAAAGAGTCTCGGATTGCGAGTGTTGTGAGTTGGATAAGTCAAGTTATGTGCAGAGAAGCAGATTGCGTGAAATCCATTTCATTTATTGCTGATTTGTGAGATGAGTGTGCGTGGAGAGACTCTGAGGCACAAGCCGCAGGTTAGTGCAAAGAGTTGAACACGACAACAATCCACAATCGACAGACATGTGAGACTCCGATTTTGGGGACGCATGTAACACTCATATTTTTAAGTCCACCGTTTCTCCATCGTTTGCTAAACACCAACGGACAACCAGAAACTTCAAGCTGAAGAGATTGTATGTTTTGTTCTGTGCATTCTTTCGAGTTTTGTTTTCAGAGTTTGCGCATCATGTCACTCGTCGAGAGCAATGCAGCGTTTGCACAGAGGTGCACAGAGCTTGATCGGACTGGTAATTTTGGAAATGCCTTGACGGCCCAGAATATCAATACCTTCAGCGCGATGGCTTTTGCGCTGGGCACTCCACAAACTCCTCCGACAGACCAACAATTTGACACCTTGGCTCAGACTGTCTTTGGTGGAGGCTTTACTTTAGGACAGGCCTCATTGCTGCGGAGGCTCCACTTTGAGTCGACTACATTGATGATAGCCTCGGTCAAGCAGAGAGTTGATGGAGAGGCTTCAGATCGACCTGACAGTGTCAAGCGCATACCTGTCGCAGAAAAGCGCTATAGGCTTGAACAGCAGGAACAGAGACTGGCGGGCATAGCCATCTCAGGTGAGCTGGAACCATCGCACCAGTTGCTTGACCTTACAAACAATGTGTTGGAGACGGGGTCAATCGTTTGGATAGCCCCATCGAGATGCACCAAAAGGTCGGAAGAAGTTCAGTTGTCGATCAAGGAGCGGCCGTCTTCAGTGCAAGTGGAGAACCAGCAGCTCAAGATCGCCCAGATATCAGAAGATTTCAAAGCAGATTGTGGAAGTGAGATAAAACTCCAATGGTGCTTGCAGAGACGAGGCATTGCAATGGATCAATGCCAACTGCTGACATGGGCCACTCACGAAGCCTGGGTACAACAGCTTTTTCGAACGCTTAGCCAACAAGCTCCTCCAAACTTCCACCCAGTGAGGATGGACCAGTTGGTGCGTGCAGATCGAGAGTTGTGGACCTTGCTGGCACAAGAGCACAAGGGAACACTGAAAGTGAATGCGGCCGGCGAGATTCCGCTGGAAGGCCTTTTCAAGCGCTTTTGTCAAGATCCTCGCATTACCATGTTCCTTTTGCCTGCTCCTGCCGGGGCCAAAACAACAGACAAGGAGAACATCACGAAGAGACCAACTGCGACTGGACCGACGCAGGCATCTGCAAAAAGCAGCACAACAAAGAAGCGCAAGACAAGAGCCGAGAAACAATGTCCAGAGGAGCTCAAGAAGTTCAACTTGCGTTGCGACCACGGTCCAGTGTGCTGGGCTTACAATTTGAAGACTGGCTGCAAGAACGCTACGTCGGGAAAGCCCTCTCGATGTGTCAAAGGTTTTCATGTTTGTGCAAACTGCCACAAAGCAGGACACTCAGTGGTGGTGTGCAGAGGGCTTGCGAAAAGTGATGGGGCTTGACAAAACAAAGCCACTGGCGCCATTTTGGAGCCAGGTGGTAAACGGAAGTCAGTATCACCTAGTGCAGCTGGGCTCCAACAACCAGCTAGAAAGAAACGGGGTGGAAAAGGAGACCACAATGTTCAACACATTGGTCCCACGGCCGATGAGGCGGCGTACCCTTTTGTGCTGTGCGAGCGGATCATTGATTGCATCAAACACAAAGTGCTATCGTATGGGGCCATACAGTCCAACAACTTAGAGCAGCAACTCCAGCAGCCAGACGCCGATGCAGCTGGCCGCATTGCCCTTGGTTCACTGCCCCGAGGTGCCAAAGTTAAGCCGCTGGTTGCAGAGTTTGGTTCCTTTACAGCGGCTGTTGCGCCTGTACAACAGTCACTTTGTGTTGAAGAATTTTTGAAACAGCAGCCCAAAGGGAGCAAAATCACCTCTCGACAGCTTCTGACAAGGGGAGAAATTCGGGTCGAGGGTGAGGGTGTTTCTCACCATTTTCTTGCCAACTCAAAGGAGCTGCCAGACGACGCCATGGTTGAAATGTGTTGGATAGGTGTGCCAAGCGATCCAGACGATTTTGTTCAGCGAGCTTTGAGAGCGGGGCACCCACGAGGGTTGGATGTCCATGTGGATGCAGCCATGGCCTCAGTAGTGAAGGCAAACCTGGTTGACCCACCTTTTTGTTTGGCCAAGAAGCGAGTTGAGTTCATGAAAAAGTGGACAGCGAGAGCCCAAGACCTGAAACTGGAGGAGGAAAAGTTCAGAGAAAAGATGCCGGAACACGTCAGAAATGTTCTTGGCAACAAGCGCTTGGTTCTTTTCAAAGAAATTCTGGATGACCTCAACTATCCGGATACCAAGTTGATAGATGACATCGCAAGTGGTTTCAAACTGAGTGGCTACATGACGAAGTCAAATGTTTTTCGTGCAAGGTCCAAGAGGCCTGCTTTTTCTTTGGAGACACTGCGCAAACTCAGCAGATCCTTCAACTCCAGGAATGTGGAGGCTTTGCGCAAGCGACAAGATGCAGAGCTGGAGGAGCAAACCTGGCAAGAGACAGAGGAAGAGTTGCGCAAAGGTTGGATTTTCATCGACGACTCAGAGGACCTTGACAACAAGTTTCTTGGAAGGCGTTTTGGGATACATCAAGGTTCCAAGGTGCGAGTGATCGATGACTGCACATGTTGTGGTTTAAACCTCACAGTGGGGTTGCATGAAAAGTTCAAGCTCCACGCCATTGACTTTTTGGCTGCGATCATGGGTCATGCTTTTCGCACTTGTGCTCCTGGTCTGATGCCTGCTGTGAAAGGTCGTACATACGACTTGAAGTCGGCATACAAGCAATTTGCTGTGAGCTTGGGCGACCGAGACACTTTAAGGATGAGAGTTAATGTGCCAGGACAGACCGCTCATGCAGTGATTGGTTTCAACTCTTTACCCTTCGGGGCTGTGGGGTCAGTGGCTGGTTTCCTTCGAGTGAGCCAGGCATTATGGTATGTCGGCTACTTTGGGTTGGGCTTGCTTTGGAGCGCTTTTTATGATGACTTCACTTTGCTGACAAGAGTTGAGCTTGAGCAGAACAGCAGTTGGGCTTGCGAGTCTTTGTTTTCACTGCTTGGCATGAGGTATGCAACCGAAGGAAAGAAGTGCCTTCCTTTCGATGGTTTGTTTCGTACGTTGGGCTTGGAAGTGGATGTGTCTGAGTTCCGTGAGGGACGAGCTTTTGTGGGACACACGGAAAGCAGAAAGGAAGAAATTGGTTCTCAGTTGAAAAAGGTGCTCTCTGAAGGAGCGCTGAGTCCTAAGGACGCTGAGAAGCTCAGAGGCAGGATGATCTTCTTCGAAGGTTTCACCTTTGGAAGAGTTGCTAACTCATCCACGAAGTCTTTGGGACGCTTCTGTGGAAGCTCGAACAAGCCCAAACCTCTGGATGCTGAGATGACCAGGGCCCTTGAGTTTTTGCAGCAGAGAATAAGCGAGGGTCGGCCGCTCAAAATAGAGCGAAACTTGCACAGCACCTGGCTGGTCTTCACGGACGGCGCTTGCAATCAGGAAGAATTGAAAGGGTCGGTTGGTGGAGTCCTTTACGACCCATCTGGAGCCTGCGTTGGATACTTTGGTGAAGCTGTGCCAACGGCGATAATGGATGATTTGTTCAAACGATCAAAGAATCCAATTCATGAACTTGAAGTACTTCCTGTGATTGCAGCACTTGCTTGGGGCCACCTATATGCTTGTTCACAGGTGGTATACTATATCGATAATGAGTCAGCGAGAATGGCCTATATTCGGGGCACTGGCGAAACGCTTCGTGCAAGCTTGTTGGTGCAATCTTTCGTTGAAGACGAAGCGGCACAACAACACCGTGTCTGGTTTGGCCGTGTACCGAGTCACAGTAACCCTGCAGATTCACCAAGCCGTCTTGATTTCAGTCAGGTCCTGGCGAAGGGTGCGACCCTAACCAACATTGATTGGGAGAAGGTTCCACGCCACCTTGGACTTTGAACTGGGGCGGATCTCGGAAGGTGCAGAAACTTTCCCCGGTGTAAAACAGGTGCTTCTGCGTTGACTCGGATTTACACATGTCGCTGTCATTATCGTTGTGATGTCAACTTTATTTGCGTTTTAATTTTTTTGGTTTTCCGAAAAACAACGCGCGTAGTTGTGGAGTGTAGAATAAGATGTGAGTTTCTCTTTGAGAAACTTTTCCTTATTTGCACACGCAACAACGTTTTGCAAAAACAGTTCCTGGTTTGGTTTTTAAAACGGATGTCAACAAACCAACTTGTTTTTGCTGCGCGTTATTTGTTTTTTGGGAATCCAGTAATTATTTGTTTCATCTGAAACATTTCCTTTCAAGGGTGTGGAGGGAGGGATTACCCTCTGATGGATTTTTTCCGTCTTTCCCTCCCATTTTGTCCTCCACGGCAAAATTTTTCCCACCCACGTAAAAATTGGTTCTTAAAAGGAGCCACACCCCGAGCCCTGGATCTCGGAAGGTGCAGAAACTTTCCCCGGTGTAAAACAGGTGCTTCTGCGTTGACTCGGATTTACACATGTCGCTGTCATTATCGTTGTGATGTCAACTTTATTTGCGTTTTAATTTTTTTTGGTTTTCCGAAAAACAACGCGCGTAGTTGTGGAGTGTAGAATAAATTCAGTTGATTTTCTGGCAGCTATGGTGGGCTTTGCTTTGAAGTTTTGCCCGTCAGATGGGCGACCAAAGCTGAGAGGCAGGACGTATGACTTGCGCTCTGCCTACAAGCAATTTGCAGTGCACTCCGACGATCGTGCTGCTCTACGTATGGGCGTCAATGTGCCCGGCAGAGAGCAGTGTGCAATCATTGGTTTCAATTCTTTGCCTTTCGGGGCGGTGGGTTCAGTGGCAGGTTTTTTGCGTGTCAGCCAAGCAGTTTGGTTCTTGGGATACTTTGGCCTAGGGCTGCTTTGGAGTGCTTTCTATGATGACTATACCTTGCTCTCTCGGTGCGAGTTGGAAAGCAGCAGCAGCTGGGCGTGCGAAGCCTTGTTCAATCTGCTTGGACTGGCCTACGCGACAGAAGGCCACAAATGCAAACCTTTCGATGACAAATTCAAGACGCTTGGATTGGAGGTCAACACTGGATCCTTCCAGCAGGGCTTCGTGCTTGTTGGACACACCGAAAGCCGCAGGGAGGAGTTGCATGGTCAGCTGGCAGCTGCCTTGGAAGCCAACACAATGACTTCCAAGGACGCAGAGCGAATGAGGGGCAGGATGATCTTTTTCGAAGGATATGCTTTCGGCCGTGTGGCCAATTCTGCGGTTAAGGCTTCGGGACGCCTTTGCAATAGTCCTGAGCCTGTTTCCAAGTTCAGCGCCTCCATGCGCACCACTCTGGAGTTTCTGCAGCAACGAGTCCTGCAAGGGCGACCTTTAAAAATCCAGGGTTCACTCAATCAGACCTGGTTGGTATTTACAGACGGAGCATGCGACCCTGCAGCTCGTGAAGGATCAGTCGGTGGAGTCATATATGACCCCAATGGAAACTGCCTACAATTTTTTGGGGAGCGAGTTCAACGTTCCCGACAGGGTCATGGATGACCTACTCGAGAGGTCGCAGAACCCGATTCACGAACTGGAAGTCCTGCCGGTTCTGATAGCAGCTGAACTATGGGGACAAACCTAAGCGCAGGTGGTATATTACATCGACAATGAGTCGCCTCGGATGGCTTACATCAGAGGTGACGGCGAAACTCAAAGAGCTGCTCAAATGATCCATGCGTTTGTTCAGCAGGAGTCAGCCATGCAGCATAGAGTCTGGTTTGGGAGGGTGCCTAGCTACAGCAACCCGGCCGATGGGCCCAGCAGGTTAGACTTCAAAGAAGTGCTAGAGCTCGGTGCCACCAAAACCAATATCAACTGGGAGCTGGTGATGAAGCACCTTGAGTTGTGACATGGGGCGAAGGGCGGAAGGTGCTGAAGCCATCCCCAGTGTTTAAAAAAGGTGTGCCACCGTTTGCTGCACAGCGTTTGTCAGACATTTCATGTTTTTGATGTTTACACTTTTATGCGTTTCGTTTATAGTCATCCGAAAACTTATTTGTTTGGAAAGAACGACGCGCCTTTGTGGAGTGTAGAATAAGTGGCGAGTTTCTCTTGAGAAACTTTAACTTATTTGCACACGCAACAAATTTCATGGGCAAAACCTTTTTGTGAGAACAATCTCTGTTTGACCAATTTTTAAAGAACTTCTTTTTGTCAAACTCTGGTTTTGCTCGTGCGCGTTTACAGTGATTTCCAAACATGTGTTTTTTGAAACTGATGATTATATGTTTCCTCCGAAACGTTTTTTCCATCAAGGGTTGGGTGGGAGGGACTTGCCCTCTTTTTGACGGAAATTTATCGTCTTTCCCTCCCTTTTTCTTTTGTTTTCCCACCCTCAATAATTTCCTTGCTTTTTAAGGTCTTTTCACATGAAAAAGGTCACACCCTAAGCCCTGAAGGGCGGAAGGTGCTGAAGCCATCCCCAGTGTTTAAAAAAGGTGTGCCACCGTTTGCTGCACAGCGTTTGTCAGACATTTCATGTTTTTGATGTTTACACTTTTATGCGTTTCGTTTATAGTCATCCGAAAACTTATTTGTTTGGAAAGAACGACGCGCCTTTGTGGAGTGTAGAATAAGTGGCGAGTTTCTCTTGAGAAACTTTAACTTATTTGCACACGCAACAAATTTCATGGGCAAAACCTTTTTGTGAGAACAATCTCTGTTTGACCAATTTTTAAAGAACTTCTTTTTGTCAAACTCTGGTTTTGCTCGTGCGCGTTTACAGTGATTTCCAAACATGTGTTTTTTGAAACTGATGATTATATGTTTCCTCCGAAACGTTTTTTCCATCAAGGGTTGGGTGGGAGGGACTTGCCCTCTTTTTGACGGAAATTTATCGTCTTTCCCTCCCTTTTTCTTTTGTTTTCCCACCCTCAATAATTTCCTTGCTTTTTAAGGTCTTTTCACATGAAAAAGGTCACACCCTAAGCCCTGAAGGGCGGAAGGTGCTGAAGCCATCCCCAGTGTTTAAAAAAGGTGTGCCACCGTTTGCTGCACAGCGTTTGTCAGACATTTCATGTTTTTGATGTTTACACTTTTATGCGTTTCGTTTATAGTCATCCGAAAACTTATTTGTTTGGAAAGAACGACGCGCCTTTGTGGAGTGTAGAATAAGTTTAACTAATCTAATCTAATCTAATCCTAATCTAATCCTAATCCCTAATCCTAATCCCTAATCCTAATCCCTAATCCCTAATCCTAATCCCTAATCCCTAATCCCTAATCCTAATCCCTAATCCTAATCCCTAATCCTAATCCCTAATCCTAATCCCTAATCCTAATCCCTAATCCTCCTAATTCTAATCCTCCTAATTCTAATCCTCCTAATTCTAATCCCTAATTCTAATCCCTAATTCTAATCCCTAATTCTAATCCCTAATCCTAATCCCTAATCCTAATCCCTAATCCTAATCCCTAATCCTAATCCCTAATCCTAATCCCTAATCCTAAATCCTAGTTCTAAATCCTAATTTTAAATCCTAATTCTAAATCCTAATTCTAAATCCTAATTCTAAATCCTAATTCTAAATCCTAATTCTAAATCCTAATTCTAAATCCTAATTCTAAATCCTAATTCTAAATCCTAATTCTAAATCCTAATTCTAAATCCTAATCCTAAATCCTAATTCCAAATCCTAATTCTAAATCCTAATTCTAAATCCTAATTCTAAATCCTAATTCTAAATCCTAATCCTAAATCCTAATCCTAAATCCTCATTCTAAATCCTAATTCTAAATCCTAATTCTAAATCCTAATCCCTAATCCTAATCCCTAATCCTAATCCCTAATCCTAATCCCTAATCCTCCTAATTCTAATCCCTAATTCTAATCCCTAATTCTAATCCCTAATTCTAATCCCTAATCCTAATCCCTAATCCTAATCCCTAATCCTAATCCCTAATCCCAATCCCTAATCCTAATCCCTAATCCTAATCCCTAATCCTAAACCCTAGTTCTAAATCTTAATTTTAAATCTTAATTTTAAATCCTAATTCTAAATCCTAATGCTAAATCCTAATTCTAAATCCTAATGCTAAATCCTAATGCTAAATCCTAATGCTAAATCCTAATGCTAAATCCTAATTCTAAATCCTAATTCTAAATCCTAATTCTAAATCCTAATTCGAAATCCTAATTCTAAATCCTAATTCTAAATCCTAATTCTAAATCCTAATTCTAAATCCTAATTCTAGATCCTAATTTTAAATCCTAATTCTAAATCCTAATTCTGAATCCTAATTCTAAATCCGAATTCTAAATCCTAATTCTAAATCCTAATTCTGAATCCTAATTCTAAATCCTAATTCTAAATCCTAATTCTAAATCCTAATTCTAAATCCTAATTCTAAATCCTAATTCTAAATCCTAAATCTAAATCCTAATTCTAAATCCTAATTCTAAATCCTAATTCTAAATCCTAATTCTAAATCCTAATTCTAAATCCTAAATCTAAATCCTAAATCTAAATCTAAATCTTAATCTAATCTAATCTAATCTATCTTTCCAAGTATCTGTCCATTTGTTTGTTTGTCTGTCTGTCTATCTATTTACTTATCTAATATATCATATCCAATATATCTATTTGTTTGTCTGTCTATATATCTATCTAACTATCAATCTATCAATCTATCAATCTCATATATCTACATAAACTATCTATTTATTTGTTTGTCTATTTGTCTATCAAACTAGTTTAATCTTCTCTGATCTTATCTAATCTAAGCTAATCTAATCCAACCTCTCTAATCTTTCAAGTCTGTCTATTAATCTATCTAATCTATCTAATCCACCTAGTCTACCTTTTCTATCTGATCTATCTAATATGCCTACTCTATCCAAGTGACCTTACCTATCTATTCTATCTAAATAATCTACATGAAAGCAAAGCAGAGAAAAAAAACAG